GTCTCATTTCAGTCGCAGACACACACTTAGAGAGCATTTCTTAATGAATGAATGAAATATGCTGTTTTCCAACAAGGCAACCCAAGGTGGTTAAATATAATTGGCGAAACTTGTATTGGGCGGGTTAAAGGGACCAAAACAAAGACAGACGTTTCAGACACATAACGCACATTTTCAAAGCAGAATATCAGACTTCAGCATTCTTTTCAGATAAAAACTTAGCATGTTTCTTAAATATTTGTAAGCATATTATGGTATTGTTATCCTTTAGAAGAGTCAAAACTTACAAACAGCACCTTTAAGTACATTTAAAAAACAATTAAGTTGACCAATAATAATTCCCAGTATTGGGTTATAGCTGGAAGAGCAGCCGCTGTTTAAAACATGCCAGAGTAGTTGCTGGTTCATTCCACTGTGGCGACCCCTGATAAATCAGGGACTAAGCCGAAGGAAAATGAATGAATGAATGTCCAAAAAACCAATTGTGTTGTTTCAGCTCATTTAAAATAAGTAGTTTAAGCAAACCGCAAACCTAATTTTTGGAGTGTTGAAGTCTTGTCTTGCTTTCTAATTGTTTCTAGTGTCAGAGATGCATTTTAATGACTCGCTGAGATTTGTTACACTTTCTCTCTCAGCAAAAGCATCAGCATCTCTATCATTCCTTGCTTTTTTTTGTTGTTTTTAATCATTGCCGGTGGGCCCAGCGGATCGCCTTTGTAGCTCTCCACCCACTCTGAAACAGCAGGCTCCAGTTCTCCTACTGTCAGCTTAGTTAATAAAACAATTACTCCTGACTCCACAATGTGGCTGATTTGGCATGCTGGAAGCGCACAAATTCTCAGTTCCTTTGAATTTCATCAGTAACAAAATTAATTAGAGTGGCCACGAAAATGTAATCATTGCTCCCTGGAAATTGAAATAAATTAGAGATGCATGCATTGGGACTGCTCGTTAGCAGTGACCTCGAGTAATTGCCGTATCCATTTGTGAAATTCATAATGGAGTTGAGGCAACTTTGAACTGCGCTTAAATAAAGACTAGATTGCATGGTCCCCAGGGTTTCCTACGAATGGTGAAATTGCTTGTTTGATGATGAGGTAGATATGTGCGCAGTCTGTGTGCATGTTTATGTGTTTGCTGAGGTTCGGCAAATGTCATGCTCTCCATTATGATCCAAACTTTTAGTCATTTGGAGAAGTTGTGCTGTTCCCCTTATTTGATGTCATTTTTTCAACAAATCTTTCGGTGAAATGACTTGATTATTTGTCAAACAATAGCACCCTTTTATCCAGAGTATCAAGTGAACGCTGATTTAGGAACTAATTAAATAATCTTAAGATCATAATTGAGGCAATTTATGAACAATTCACATTTACTTCTCAAAACGTGTAAAATAATAGCACATTAGTTGAATTTTCACTATCTTCACTAAGAAATTGCTAAAAAATATGTAAAAAAAAAACAATTCCAAGTTAGCTTAATGCAAAATATATACCAAAGTGACATTTAAAAAAAAAAATTAAAGGGAAAATTCACCCAAATATTCAAATTTACTCACTATTTGCTCACCCTCAAGTGGTTCCAAACCTGGCGTGCGTTTTTCTCAAACAATGACGTAACTCGCAAAACTATAATAGTACAATGCATCATTTGGAAAAAGAACAATGTAGTGACAAGAGTTTCTTGATGAGTGTGTAGTTAAAGACGCTGTAAACTGGAGCAACAACTTCTTTAGAAAAAAATCTCATAACTTTTTGTGCAAATTGTTTTAAAGGCACTTGCATTTAAAAAAAAAAGATACAGTTGAAGTCAGAATTATTAGCCCCCCTGAATTAATAGACTACCTGTTTATTTTTTCCCCAATTTCTGTTAAACAGAGCTTTTTTTCAACACATTTTTAAACATAATAGTTTTAATAACTCATCTCTAATATCTGATTCATTATATCTTTGCCATGATGAGAGTAAATAATATTTGACTAGATATTTTTCAAGACACTTCTATACAGCTTAAAGTGACATTTAAAAACTTAACTACATAATTAGGATAACTAGGCAGGTAAGAGTAATTAGGCAAGTTATTGTATAACGATGGTTTGTTCTGTAGACTATCGAAAAAAATGTAGCTTAATGGGGCTAATAATTTTGTCCTTAAAATAGTGTAAAGAATTAAAAACTGCTTTAATTCTAGCCAAAATAATACAAATAAAACTTTCTCCAGAAGTAAAAAATATTATCAGACATACTGTGAAAATTTCCTTGCTCTGTTAAACATCATTTGGGAAATATTTAAAAAAGAAAAAGAAAAAGAAAAATTCAAAGGGGGGCCAATAATTTTGACTTCAACTGTATATAGAAATATTCATACAAAGCACATACCTGTATAGGGCCTTTGCAAAATATTATTAATAATATTCCATAGTCTATTTTAAAACATAAAACCACTTACAAAAAGCTAACACATATTCTTATCTCATTTATAAATCATCATATTATTGGTTTTAATTTTTAGCACGCTATTTATTAAGAATAAAAAAAACTATATCCTACTATATATGGATTATTTGCCCCCCGTTTATTTTTCCCCCCAATTTCTGTTTAATGGAGAGAAGATTTTTTCAACACATTTCTAAACATAATAGTTTTAATAACTCATCTCTAATAACTGATTAATTTTATCTTTGCCATGATGAGAGTAAATAATATTTGAATAGATATTTTTTAAGACACTTCTATACGGCTTAAAGAGACATTTTAAGGTTAACTTAATTAGGTTAACTTGGCAGGTTAGGATAATTAGGCAAGTTATTTTTATTCCAGCTGAAATAAAACAAATAAGACTTTCACCAGAAGAAAAAATATTATCTGACAAACTATCAAACTTTCCTTGCTCTGTTAAACATAATTTGGGAAATATTTAAAATAATAAAAATCAAAGGGGGGCTAAAATTTCTGACCTCAACATATTTAGAAATTGTAGATCTCCCCCCCCCCAACCCCACTTTGACACATTCAAAACCACTGCAGAAATGTTCTAGCATATAGTACATAAACATTTCTTAATAAACAGCCTAGGCTACTATATATAAAAACCATTAACGTAACATATATATTTTTTTGTTTTCACAAGCTTTAGAGACATATATATCACATATAGCTTTCGTCATGAGCCACGGCTGCTTTAAAAATGGTATAAATGTTTTCAAAGTGCACTATGAAAGGAGCGTAATTGTTAATTTGAAGATCGCTGAAATTGAACTGTAAAAAATACTTTAAAAGCAATTTACATGTAAGGGAGATGACTTAAATTTTTTTTAGTCATTATTCCAAGTTTAAATGTTAGAAGGTTCTAAATGAATAGGGCTTAGCGGGGGGATAACTGGGAATAGAACACAGCCAGGAACTATGTTTCTAATTACAGCTCTAGAGGTGCAGTTGCAAGTGTACACTGCAAAAAATGCTTATCTTACTTAAATTTTTTGTCTTGTTTCTAGTTTAAATATCTACAAATTCTTAAATCAAGAAGCATATTTAAAATAGTCTTGTTTTTCGATTTGTGATAAGAATTTTTAACTTACCCCATTGGCAGATTATTTAACCTGATTTAAGGAAAAACTCACTTCATTTTGGCATATTATTTCCTAAAACAAGACAATATGTTTTGCCTGTCTAGAAAGTGCTTCTTGATTTAAGAAGTTTTAGATATTTAGACTAGAAACAAGACAAAAATATGTAAGTAAGAAAAGCATTTTTTGCAGTGTACAAGTCTGCAATGTAGTATGTGAATGTTCATTGGAATGATGGATTTGGGAAACATCAAATCAACTTACTATGTTTGTAATGATGGAACTTAGTTCGCTAATTATGATTTTCAGAAAACTCACCCGTTTCTGCTGTTTTTTTGCACAAATGAACATATTTTGAAGAAAGCTGAAAAACATCTAACCACTGTGCAAACAGTGCTTTTATTACTTAGATTTTTTTGTTTTGTTTCTAGTCCAAAAATCTAAAACTTCTTAAGTAAAGAAGCATTTTCTGGAGAAGCAAAAAATTTGGAAATTGTTGTCTTGTTTTAAAAACAAATATGTTAAAATTAAGTGAAATTTTCCTTAAAATAATCTGCCAGAGTAAGCAAAATAATCTTATGTCAAAACAAGATTATTTTGCATACCCCATTGGCAGATTATTTGGCTTGTTTTAAGGAAAAACTCACTTCATTTTGACATAATTTTTCTTAAAACAAGACAATTTTAGCTTGTCTAGAAAGTGTTTCTTGATTTAAGATTTTCTTTTAGATATTTGGAATAGAAACAAGACAAATAATGCAAGTAAGAAATGCATTTTTATATGGAATACTGTGGAAATCAATGATTACAGCTTCCTGCAAAATATCTTATTTTCTGTTCAACAAAAGAAAGAAAGTCAATCAGGTTTGGAACAAGTAAAAGATGAGCAAGTAATGAATTTTCAGTTTTGGTATCTTGACAAATATTAAATCTCATTCTGACTAGTGTTTCTGTAAAATGGTATTTCCTGAGTATTTCCTTATTGTACTCCAGCAAGACTTGTTAGTTCTCATCTAATCACATTATTTAGTGAGTTCCCAGCCATCCTGGAGGCCTAATATGAACTGGTCCGATTTTCACTAAGGTAATGACATTTGACAGTCAAATTGGAAGCACTTCAATCAAGATCGGGATCATTGAACAGCCTGTTATGTCAAATTGTTTTGTCATTCACTTAATCTCCGGGCTTAGAATTGAAGCTGGACCGTGTGTTTAGATGTTTTGTACATCATAATTTTAGGCTGATAATTACAGTTGAACAAATCACTCAAGTGTCAAGTGTTCACAATGAAAATATGTGCTACCTTTTTTTGTTTGGCGACGAGAAGCAGTAATCAGCGAGTGATACCCTCTCATCATTCAATAATGTAATATCAGGCTGGTGGAGTGAAGTGTCCACAATATGGAGGCTTGTAAGTCTGTTTGTCTCCATCAGGTTGATCTCCTTCCAGGAGTTTCTGGCTTTTGAGTCGGTGCTGTGCGCTCCGGATGCTCTCTTCATGGTCGCCTTCCAGCTCTTTGACAAAACTGGAAATGGCATTGCCACCTTTGGTAAGTGCACATACTCTTTATAAAGCCGAATTCAGGCTTGAAATTCTGATGGGATGAGCTGAGGTTGAAGTTGTGATGTTGATAGAAGTTCACCTGTGACAGCTCATGTTCTGTATACAAGCATACAACAGCCTTTAGATAGGAGAATGAACTATATTAATTAACAGAGCAGCTCAATCTATTGATTATCAATGATAATAGTTGTTTATTGAATATTGTTGTATTTTATTTAACTGCAGATGCTGGGATTTAGCCAAGCTAAGCCACAGATAGCCTCATGTTGCTGTGAACTTAGCACACTTTACAGTGTTTAGACTCTTTACTTAGTGTTTTCGGTTTGTTTTTCCTTTTAATTTTGGGGTTTTGCTTTACTTTTAGTTTAGTTTTGTTCTGGTTTCGTGGCTTGCGATTTGTGTTTTATAAATTTTAGCTGTTTTGGTGTTCTGTTTTGCTCTTTTGCTTTGCTTTTCGTTTTTGTTTGGCATTTTGATTTTTGTTAGGCTTTTTGGTTGTTTTGGGTTCAGTTTTTTTTCATTTAGCTTTGCTTGTTTTGATATGCTTTTTTGTTGATTTTGGCATTGAAATATTTTTTGATTTTGTTGTTTTTTTGGTCATTTTTAATTAGCCCTGCGTTTTGTGATTTGTTTTTTGTCATTTTGGTTTGCTTCCTGTGTTTTGTTAGGCTTTTTGGTTTGTTTGGGGTTTAGTTTTTGTCATTTAACTTTGCTTGTTTTGATATGCTTTTTTGTTTTGATTTTGGCATTGACAATTTTTTGTTCTTGTTTTTTGGTGATTTTTAATTAGCTTTTCGTTTCGTTTTGTGATTGTTTTTTGTCATTTTGGTTGGCTTGTTTTTCGTTAGGCTTTCTGTTTTGTTTGGGGTTTAGTTTTTGTCGTTTAGCTTTGCTTGTTTTGATATGCTTTTTTGTTTTGATTTTGGCATTGAAATATTTTTGTTGTTTTTTTGGTCATTTTTAATTAGCTTTTCTTTTTTATTTGATTTTTTTAACATTTTGGTTTGCTTTTGTTTTGTTATGGCTTTTTGTTTTTGAAATCTCGTTTATTTCTGGGTTTTTATCATTTTGCTTTGTATCTTGTGTTTTGTTATAATATATATAAAATATATATAAAATATTTGGTTTGTTTTGGTTATATGACTTGCTTTTTGTTTTGTTTTGGGTTTTTGATTTTGGGGTTTGATTTGTTTTTGTGTTTTATAGGTTTTAGCAGTTTGTTTAAATTTTCAGTTTAAATTTTTTTGCCTTGCTTTTTGGATTTACCTTTTAGTTTTTTTGAGGGGGTTTGAGTTTTGTCATTTAGCTTTGCTTTTTTGTTTTATTTTGACAATAACATGTCATACTGTACACAGTTAAACCCAAAATTATTTGTACCTCTGACAAATTCTGATTTAAAGTTACTTTTACTCAATCAGCAAGTTTTTATTTATTTATTTATTTGACCAGAAATGACACAAGCTTCTCCCAGAAGATAATAAGACGATGTTCAAGAGGCATCATTGTGGAAATAAAAAATATTTCTCAGCTTTTACTATTTACATTTGAACAAGAAATTATTAATTTCTGGCTTGACCGTATATAATTACATTTATTACATTTTGGATACATTTATATGATGAAAATATAGTTGATAATAAAGATTTAGTATATTTTACATTTTGAGACTTAACTTTCATTAAACATCATTTTTTATGTTATGGCTATTTTTATTAGCAAAATCAAGCAAGTTATATAGTATAACTCTAAATCCCTTCCCTAAATATTCTCTGTCTTGAAAACAAATGACTAATTTTAAGTAGTGTCATCTGAATGCTTGTTCAGACAGACTCCTGTCTCTTTGTGAACTACTACAGGATCAGTAAATGTAAAACTCTTTATCAGGCACTGTCAGGATCTTTAACAGCACATAGTGGACATCAGTATCATCTTACGCCATACAATCATTGTGGTTATTTGGTTCCAGACAAGATAGTACAAAGAATAGTAATGCAGCAATAATATGAGTAGTTGCTTTTGCACTTGCGAAAGAACTTGGCACAAGAAGAATGAATGTGTGTTTTTCATGCGTTTAAATTTCCCTAATTGACTTAAATAGTCTAATTTGCCTTTTGTAGGTGAGACATGTCAGATCAGCTCATTTCAAATGCACTACCCAAAGTGCCTAGGCGGAGAGAATGAGACTTTCATCAACCTGTTTCAGTCAATAGGGAATAAGATCAGATAAACACACGCACATATGCATGTGCAAATGCAAATGACTTTGGTTTATTTAGCTGTGATGTTTCTTTGCAGTTCAAAGGTCTCCTGTTGCACATGTCGTCAGTTTTTATGTCTGCCTTGAGCTGTAATGAGAACGTATAGGCGGTATTTGTCTCATACACCTGTTTTTCAGCCGCTGCAATTACGTCAACATAAATAGCAAATAACTTCTGACTAAGATTATGGTCATGTCAGAGTCACTTTATTGTGATGCACTACAGAGGGCAGGAAAATGAAATGCCGCTCTGTGTTAAAGCGAGCAGGAGACTCCCATTTATAACCCTCTTAATGTCATTAAAAGCGTTAAAGGTCTCTTGCTGTTACATTAAACAGTCTTTTTTCACCATTTAATAAACCCTGTCATTGCAAGTCATATTATGAAGGGTTATTTTTTAAGGGTTTGGAAAATTTAGGTTTTAATTAATGAGTGACTAGTTTTTTTTTCTCCGTTTTCTACCTCCTTCAACATCAATTATGTGAATTAGAGGTAATAAACTTGCAGGCTGCCATGCGACTCCAAAGTGATATAAAGAGAGAAGGACAAGAGACGTGTTGACAGCTTCATAAACACTGATAAAATGAAGGTCTGGAGTAACTCCGCAGTGGAACTCTGTTGTAATGCAGTATAAAATGTATAATAATTTGCAATAAATGGGAAAAACTTGTTACAGTCCGTTAAGAATAGTCCTCACCAATACATTGAAAGCTCATTTGTGTTGCTGTTAATGTGTATATTTTTATGTTTTGGGTTGTATAAAAAGTAAAAGTGTGTCAAATATCATCTGTAGGGACTGTGGAATTAAACTTCAATGCTTTTGATTTGAGGAATGGTATGTTTGTGAAAAACATGCAACAGATCTTTCTTTTTTGGCTTAGTTCCTTTATTAATCTGGGGTCGCCACAGCGGAATGAACTGCAAACTTATCCAGCATATGTTTTACGCAGTGGATGCCCTTCCTGCTGCAACCCATTACTGGAAAACACTCATACACTCTCATTCATACACATACACTATTGACAATTTAGTTCACCCAATTCACCTATAGCACATGTCTTTGGACTTGTGGGGGAAACCGGAGCACCCGGAGGAAACCCACACGAACATGAGGGAAACATGCAAACTCCACACAGAAATGCCAACTGTCAGTCAGCGACCTTCTTGCTGTGAGGAGATTGCGCCACCGTGACACCCCGCAAAAGATCAGCTTTTTTTATAAAAAGGTATATGTTTAATACTGGCGACATGGTGGCACAGTGGTTAACACTGTTCCCTCACAGCAAGAAGGTCTCTGGTTCGAGTTCCAGCTAGGTCAGTTGGCATTTCTGTATGGATTTCGCATGTTCTCCTGGTGTTTACGTGGGGTTCGTCCAAGTGCTCCAGTTTTATCCACAGTCCAAACACACGTGCTGTAGGTGAATGGGGATAAGCTTAGTTGGCTGTAGTGTATGAGTGTATATGCTGCATGGTCCTCCAGCTTTGGGGCTAAGTGATGGGCTAAAAACCCACCTCATAAAAACTAGATGTTACGAAACACCAATGTGGTCCAGCTAAATTTCAATTTCGATATGGCCCAGTAAGTAACTCAGTAAGTATATATATATATATATATATATATATATATATATATATATATATATATATATATATATTATTGGTTTTTAATGTTGTTTTTTCCTTCTTCATTAAATATTTCTTTATTTTAAATAAGGGGTTTTGAAGCACCAAGACACCCTTTAAAATGTAATTCGATGTAACAAATGTTTATATAAGATTTTGTAAGGCACATTTTGTACAAGAATCATTTTAGGACATTAAAAGTCTTCATATAAAAAAAAAAAAAATTGTAAACACTTGTCCCTTAAATAAGATGTTTTATTAATTTATTTAATGTGAAATAATATAGTATGATCAATTAATATTATATATTGGCAAGTTTTATTTTAAACATTGTCATACACATTGACTGGTTAATTTTCGATTGATAAAAAAGCAATAACAGTAATAATAATAGTAATATTAATATTAATAATAAGAAGTATAAGAATAATAATAAGAATAATGATAATAATAATAATAATACATATTAAATATATATATAAAAGTACACTCAAAAAATATTTTTGCTGCTTGTTTAGTCTACCTAATTATAATGAGCTGAATCAACACAATTCTTGAAGGCTTTTCTGAAATAACTTGATTGTTTTATGTTCAATCAACTTAAAGTTGTAAAAACAATTAAGTTAACATTATTGGTTTGTGTTGAGACAACATTAAGGAATTGTGGGGACCCTGCATTTTTTACAGTGTACAGATTCAAATTAGTATGTACATTTTATTTTTTTTGTTGCTGTTTTATAAATGTATCTTAAGCATTAATTCCTACTTTTTGACATTGGCTGTGTCGAAATTGCCTACTACTCAGTGGGTACTGCATTTGAATTTAAATGCAGGTGTTATAAAAGTGTGTTCTATACAGTATGAATGTGAGTAGTATGAATGGAACTCGGATGTAGTATATCCACCATCATGTCATTATCACGTGACCTACCCTCATCAGTTATGTCGCTTCACTCCCATTCATGAATTCTCTTGCAGTGCATCATGGGATTGCACAGCGTGCATCAGACACTTCAGAATCTAGCCGGAAGTAGTAAGTCATCAGGGTACTTCTTACATACCGTTTTTCGAAATCTATGAATTCAGAGATACTACTCAGCTAGCATACTGTTTTAGCGTACTATATACTATGGAAGTATGGGATTTCAGATGCAGCCATTGAATTTTGTTTTACAAAAGTTGTTCAAAACATTAAACTAGACTTTTTACTTGCATTTGAAATGCTTTCTATATATAAAATCAAATTTTTGTCAATTAAACAAATTAATTTACCTTTATTTCTACAGCGCTTTTAAAATGTAGATTGTGTCAAAGCAGCCTAAAGTAGAATTTCTAGTAAATTGAAACTGTGTCCGTCCAGTTATCAGAGTTTAAGTTCAGTTTAGTTTAGTTCAGTGTGGTTTAATTTTCACTGCTGAAATCCAAGCACTGAAGAGCAAAGTCCCAAATCCCAAATCAAGCAAGCCAGTGGCGACCCCCATATTACAATCTGGTCATTGATCAAAATGCAGTACATAGTGATAATAATAATTATTTGTGTGTGTGTGTTTTCCTGTTTAAATACAAAATAGTACACTACAAAAAGTGATTTGTTACTTTACAATGAGTAAACCCATTGCCTTATAAATGACAAGTTGATTTAAAAAATTAGTAAACCAATTGCAACTTGGAACTGTTAATTAAGTCAATAACTTAATCTTTATAAGTATGCATGTAGTTCATTTACTTAATAATTAAAAGACTGGTTTGTTCACTTTTTTAAAAAGCTACATATGTACTTGTTTTGCTAAAGTAAACTAATCAGTGTATCTGAAACCTCTTTATTTCTAAATATTTACCTTTATTTTGAACGGTACCATCATCAAAAATCACACAATGCATGTTTTGTAACTCAATCCACTAACAATGAGATTTCTAAAACCAGGCTTATCTCTTATTTCAGAGGATGTGAAACAAGTTTTCACTCAGACCACAATCCACCAGCACATCCCCTTTAACTGGAACTCCGAATTTGTTCAGCTTCACTTCGGCGCCGACAGGAAGAAGCACCTGAACTACGGGGAGTTCACTCAGTTTCTGCTGGTGAGTTTGACTGCTGTCTAATTTCTCTCTGATCCACTTTGCCCCCCCACGTACACCAAAACACGCTCGCTTTCATACTGTCCCCGTCACGCACTTCCCTTCACTGCCACAGAGCACAGATCGATGTAATGTCTTGTTTGCTATATTCCGTGCCCGGTCTCGTCTAGATTGACACACAGTTCTGGGCAGCGTTTCCAGCAGCACAATGAGGCATATTGACCTAGTTAGTCATTAATGAAACACTGGAGTTATATTCCGACGCCAGCATTTGTTTCTCATTAGCTGACGTAACCTCAGTGCAGTCTAGCGATTCCCACTAAAACAGGTAAAGAAGAATAGCAGTATTCCTTTTGTATTTGTAGCGTGCAAGACATTTTCCAATATAGCGTCTAGACCTGAGAGTGGGCAGAGTGGGTGCAAGGGGTCGTCCGTGCCAAGTCTACCTCGACGCTTGCAATATCTGAATGAGCTTTTTATATTAAACTTAACTTGGACCAGATGGGTTTTTGGAAACGGCGAGAAACACGCAGATATTGTGTTTGTGGCCAAGACGGGATTCATTTTGTTTTTTGGAACTCGAAAATGATGAAAAAACACATTTCCTGTTTCATTTATTTAATTTTCTTTGAATTGGCAACTTAAAAAAAATAATAAATGGTCGTTCGGAGTCATTTTAAAATCCATAAAAGTTAACTGTTAGATTGTATTATCTGCTTTAGCAGTCACAAAATGTCATGCAGCGGTGTAAAAATTTGAGGTAGAGCTGATTTTAACATCATCAGAACATAACATCAGATCTACCGCAAATTTGTGTGTGTGTTTATACAGTTGAAATTTCCCCCATTATTTGTTTGATGAAAAGAAGATTTTTTTCAACACATTTCTAAACAAATTAATTTTAATAACTAATTTCTAATACTAATTTGAGGACAACACATAATATTTGAATAGAAATTTTTCAAGATACTGGTATTCAACAATTGAAAGGCTTAACAAGGTTATTTAGGCAAGTTAGGGTAATTGTGGGGCAAGTCAAAGTATAATGATGGTTTGTTCTGTAGGCTATCGAAAACAAAATCTTAAGGGGCTAATAATCTTAAACTTGCTGTTTGCAAGTTTTTGACTTTTCAAAAGCAAAAAAAAAAAAAAATATATATATATATATATGTTTGCAGATATTTAGGAAACATGCTAAGTGATCATTGTTGTTTATCTGAAAAACAATGCTGAAGTCCGATATTCTGCTTTGAAAATGTTTTCCGGAACCTCTGTCTTTGTTTTGATTCTTTTAACCCATCCAATGCCAGTTTAGCCAAATGCACCTGTAAACTAATAAACTAAACAAACAAACAAAAAAGAAACCAATACTGTGAGGCTTCCCAGCAGGCACAGGATGTCATCTTGACTTCAGATTGACATTGTATCCCAATGTCGTAGGGATATTGCATTTTGTTTGGAAATGAAAATCGGGCTTCATGTCAGGCTGATGTCAATGACCAATATCCAACCTAAAATCAACCAAATATCAATGTGTAATGATGTTACAGCTTGACGTTGTGTGGATGTTACCACTATGACGTCTAACAGATGTTGGATTTTGGTTGGCATACCTGACGAATCAATGTCAGTATTCATTCATTCATTTTCCTTCCGCCTAATTATCGGGTTGCCACTGCGGAATGAACCGTCAACTTATCCAGCATATGTTTTACACAGCGAATGCCCTACCAGCTGCTACATGACGTTGGTTTAAGATGGCTCGACGTTGGATTTTGGTCACTTTTCAACACAAACTAAAATCAACCAAATATCAGTTGACATCATTACTGGACGGCGGCATGTTGGTGCAGTGGTTAGCACTGTGACCTCACAGCAAGAAATTCACTGGTTCGAGTCCCGGCTGGGCCAGTTGGCATTTCTGCGTGGAGTTTGCATGTTCTCCCTGAGTTGGCGTGGGTTTCCTCCGGGTGCTCTGGTTTCCCCCACAGTCCAAACACATGCGCTATAGGTGAATTGATGAACTACACTGACTGTAGTGTATGAGTGTGAATAAGAGTGTATGGGTGTTTCCCAATATGGGGTTGCAGCTGGAAGGGCAGCTGCTGTGTAAAACATATAGATAAGTTGGCAGTTCATTCCGCTGTGGCAAACCCTGATGAATAAAAGGACTAAGCCGAAAAGAAAATGAATGAATCATTTCTGAACGTCAAAATAACATTGTCCTTAGATGCTGGCTAGACATTGAATTTTGGTCACCTGATGTCACAAGCTAAATATAACCTAATAATAACACCTTATGACTTTGTGTGCCTGATGGATATACCTGACAACCCTCCAGTTTTTCCCAGGATTTTCGCGTGTTTTACAATTCTATTCTACTATCGTCATGTAAAGATATTTTCCGGCATTTCTCTCGTAATTTTAGTCTTTCAATGAGGGGTGGCAGTAATATATGCAACCCATACCGCCAAACCACCAGGGGACTTTTGTTTTATTTAGGCATGAAAACACTCTGAAATAAATATGAAAATGGCAGGATTCCCTTTCTTTTCATTACAGGTGCCGTCGCGCCTCCTATACAATCTTCAAAACAGTCATATAGCAGTGCGTGACTGTCAGCTGACGCACTCCATATTGATAAATAGACGCAGTTTCCCAAACAAATTCTGTACACGTGTTTTAAAGTGGAAGTCTTGATATTTGGGTGCGTGTTTGAACACGCGTATACACATAATTAATAATAATAATAATGACATCTAAAGAGGTCGAGCTTGGTGGTTGTATTTTAAACACAACTATTTTTGTTCTAAATGAGCATAACAAGTTAGGAAAGCAATCGAATGCTTTCATTATAATGTTAGATGTGTGCATTTTCAAAGTGATACCTCTGTTATCTAATGTAATCAATTGAAAAATCAAAATAAATGAGAGATTCATTCATTCTTCATTCATCTTTAATCTGAATGTGTAAGTTTTACAGTGAAGAAAAGATAATGAGGTTTGATAACTTGATTCTATTTCTTTATAATAGCTATTCATTTTAAAGAGCTAAACTGTTTGCTAATTTATTTGCTGCTAATGTATACTATTTATTTTTTCTTTTGTAAATAATAATAATAAAACATATTACTGACCGTTTAACTGTTTATTTACAATGAAACAGCTCCAGATGAACTTATTTGTTGGGGGGATAAAATAAAATCCCTTATTTTCACATCCCAATGTTGACAGGTATGCTGATGGGTTGATCCATACTGTGAGTACTTCATGACACCTCTAGTAAAAAAAAATCACCTAGCAGATTCACATATGACAAAACGGGCTACAGATTCAAATGTACTGTCTCAATGAAACCCACACAATTATTTTACTTTCCTTTATGAGTGGATGCTTTCCAACACGTCATGTCAGCATGACCAGCTACAATACAACGTGTCGGAAATCTGGCTGCGTTGTCAGAAACGATATTACTGTCATAACCAAAGACCCAACATCCTGCAATTTCTTTAACCTGAACATCGATGAAGACTCGGCCGATATTCTCGTTTAAATGCGCTTTTTAATGCCAGCAGCGCTCGAGCTGAAATAATTGACCCAAGCAGAGGTGGCTCATTTTTTATTTTAATCCAAAGACAATTAAAGGCACAATAAATGCCATGGTGGTTTCAATATTGGCTTTTCGGAGGTTCTGTTCTTCTCCTCCCTAAATAAAAACCATGCTTTTGAAACACTCACAGTTGCAGTAATTTAAGGTTTTAAGAGACTAACTGTAAACTGTAAGGTTCAGAGCCACAATTATTATGCAATTCCACATGCTTGCGGCTGAAGCAGCACAATGCTGGATCAACTGCAGCCAGATATTATTTTCCTCTACCTCCGCTCTTGTTTTTATTTATTTAATGTGCTACTGGCATTTCCGTTTGGCTTTAAACATTGTTTGTGTGTCGACGAAAGTCATGCGCGAGACTAAATAGGATTTTCCATGTTTTTCCAGCCTCTGCTTTGATGTGATTTGTTAATATTCAAATGCAAAAAATAGGTTAATGACTGAAATTGCAGACAACATTCTTGAACTGTATTGTTGCTGTATTTTTTATGAGGACAGTGACATTTCAATAATATCAGAAATAGGTTAGCATGGAGTCTGACATTCAAAGCTTTGACATTTTCTCTAATAGTGTTTTTTTTTTTTTTGCTTCCATAAGAAGACACGTCCATTCGCACAACAGACCTATATTTCCAGTGTTTTGTACTGGTGGTTCAATTATGTGGAGATGTGAGAGAGAAAAACAACTCTCTGTAAAAGCCTGTGATGTGTACCAAAGTCATTCTCGTCTCCTGATGTGATAGCAACCGTTTTACAAATGCACAATTGACTGATTGACAAAATGTCTTTCTGTCAGGTGTCTTAAAGCAGATTTGAAATAAACAAAGATGAATGATAAATACAGAAAGGTTTGTTGGATTAAGTTGCATTGACAAACAATGAAAAATACTTTTGCTATAGTGTTTATTAATTATTACCTGTTATTTTTTAAATAAAATATCAGGGAAATGTCATGCACTATTTTGTTAAGCAGCTTTGACACAGCCTACATTATAAACGTGCTATAGAAATAAAGATAAATTGAATTGAATTAAGTTTTTACTTGAATAAATAAATAGGATTATTTAAAAATAATAAAATAAATTTTTGATCCATAAAAGCACCTTAAAATAAAAGCATCAGCTCTTGCACTAATAATACAAATTATTTGTAAATAAAATATGTATTATATATTTTATACTACAATTTGACGCATTTTAATTTAGATCAACATTTACAAAATTATTTTGTCGCTTGTTCAAACTAGACATGGGCTGGTATAACATTCTGACGGTATGATAACCTTGAATAAAAATACCATGGTTACACGGTTTTAAGGTTTTGTAATTACACCTCTAAAATATATTATTTTTTAATTTCTGGATGAAAAACTACAACTTTTTCCCCTTTGAATACAATATATTGATTTGAGAAACATTTAAAACATTTAGGAGCAGTAAACATGCCAGGCTAAATGATTCAAATGAATCATTGACTTCTGCTGTTTTCATTAGGTTCAAAAACTCTGATTTCTTTACAATTTAAGATGACATCTTTGGATATTTTTTCTGCTGGAGATACTGTTATCCTAAAAAAATTAAAAAAAAATCTTATATAAACCAGAAAATATATAGCTGGAAATTTTGCAGAAAATTTAGCCTGTTTTAAAACTTTGACTTTTCCAAACCATGATATACATTGAAAACGGTTATTGTCCCATGTCCAGTACAAACTACTTTAAAGTTTACTTTAAGTACTTTAAAATAAGCTGAAACAACCCAATTCTTGATATATATCTTTGCAACAGCTTAACTATTTCATGTTTAATCCTCTTAAATTGAAATGGAACCCTAATTTAATTTAATTTAATTTAATTTAATTTAATTTAATTTAATTTAATTTAATTTAATTTAATTTAATTTAATTTAATTTAATTTAATTTAATATATGTATTAATTTCCTTACTTATAATAATTGTAACACTTTAGTCAATTAATTTAATTTAATATGTATTAAATTCTTAACTTATATAATATTTTTAACACTTTAGTGAATTAATTTAATTTAATATGTGTTAAATTCCTAACTTATATAATAATTTTAACACTTTACAAGGTTTCATGAAATTAAACTTCCTTATGAGGTTTCATTTCATAACATGAACTAACAACGAACAACCCTTTTACAGCATACATTAATGTTAATGCTACATTCATAAAATTTAAAAACTAAAAGTTGTATTTGAGATTATTGGATACTCACAAAAGTATAATTTCCGAAAGCTCCAGGGTTTGTCATTTTTATAAAACATATTTTTTTGCAGTTGTACTCTTCAATGCACAGCATAAAAACATAAAATCTGAAAACCTTCAAAAATAAGATCATATTTTGCAATTAAACTCAGAAAAGAAACATGTCATAGGCACTTTATGTCTACAAATGCCTTAACGAATGCTAAAAAAATTATTTGAGCCTTATTGTAAAGAGTTACCATAATCTTCATATTGACATTTTTTCAGCAGTCTGAAGCTGAGTTTACTTTTTTTAAAGCAATGCATTTTTACATAATGAAAACCAGCTGTACAGCACGCACCTCACTTGGTTCTAAAATCACATGCATGTAATTAATCAAGTATTTGTTTTATTTTCTGCAGTACGAATCCCTCCAATCCAGCATTGGCAGCACTCAAACACTGACCGACCTTCACTGTGTTGCAGGAGATGCAGCTCGAACACGCTAGACAGGCTTTTGTGCAGCGGGACAAGGCCAAATCAGGCACCATCACCGCCCTGGACTTTAGGGACATCATGGTGACCATCAGACCTCACATGCTCACTCGGTTTGTGGAGGAAAGTCTTGTCGCAGTGAGTTTTTCAGTCAGTGTTTTTACTGTATTCACATGAAGTCAGAATTGTTAGCCCCCCTGTATATTTCTCCCATTTTCTGTTTAACGGAGCGAAGATTTTTTTCAACACATTTCTAAACATAATAGTTTTAATAACTCATATCTAATAACTGATTTATTTTATCTTCGCCATGATGACAGTAAATAACATTTGACTAGATATTTTTAAGACACTTCTATACAGCTTAAAGTGACATTTAAAGGCTTAACTAGGTTAATTAGGTTAATAAGGCAAGTCTAAATTGTATAATGATGGTTTGCTCTGTAGACAATCGAATAAAAAATATTGCTGAAGAGGGCTAATAATATTGACCTTAAAAAGGGTTAAAAAATATTAAAAACTGCTTTTATTCTAGACGAAATAAAACAAATAAGACTTTCTCTAGAAGAAAAAATATTATTGGAAATACTGTGAAAAATTCCTTGCTCTGCTAAACATCATTTGGGAAATATTTGAATAAGAAAAAAAATAATTCAGAGGAGGGCTAATAATTCTTACTTTAGCTTTATAAACCACCAGGAGATATTTGTTAGCAAGGTGTTTGTGCATGAGAGGTCTGCTTTTTTGCAAACTCTCTCATTTTCTCCACGGTTTGTGCCTCATAAACCTTGGAATTCTGGGAGATGTTTGTAAACACTTCGTTTTGGGGTCATTAGAAATAAATTAAAGACGACGCACCCGTCTATACACTCAATCCTCTAATTTAGATGCCTTGCAAAACAGGACTAGAGGTATAAACACTTTATTCCATCAACATAAAGGTTTATACTTTTTTTGCGTCCGGGTTTATGCAGGGTTTTTACAAATGACATGTTGGTTAAGGAAACTTCAGAGCTGGTCAAATATTTTTTTTTTTTTGGTCTCTTCAGGTAGAGACATCATTTCTGCAAAGCACACAGCGCCATCTAGTGTGAGATGATCTATAATTTATCAGGCTCAACACACTGAATGTGTTTGAAAAATGTTGAAAAGTTCAGCTGCTTAAAGGGGTAGGGATACTTGTTTCAAATGTGTTTGACTTTCTTTCTTCTGTTAAACACAACTACAGACGTTTTAAAAAAATAACTGTAACCATTGGCTTTCATAATATTTGTTCTTCCTACTGTGAAAGTCAGTGCTTACAGGTTTATTACAGAGAGCATTCTTTAAAACTATGAGTTAAACGCAAATGAAGATATTTTGAAGAATGCTCTGTAAAAAAAACCTGTTACCATTGACTTTCATAGTATTTGTTTTTTTCCTACTGTGAAAGTCAGTGCTTGCATGTTTATTACAGATCATTCTTTAAAACTATGCTGAGTTAAACACAAATGAAGATATTTGGAAGAATGCTCTGCAAAAAACCTGTAACCATTGACTTTTATAGTATTTGTTTTTCCTACTATGAAAGTCAATGCTTACATGTTTATTATAGAGCACTCTTCAAAACTATGAGTTAAACATTGATTAATATTTTGAAGAATGCTCTGTGATGAACCTGTAACCATTGACTTTCATATTATTTGTTTTTCCTACTCTGAAAGTCAATGGTTACAGGTTTACTACAGAGTATTCTTCAAAACTATAATGAGTTAAACACAAATAAAGATATTTTGAAGAATGCTCTTTAAAAGAAAAGCTGTAACCATTGACTTTCATAGTATTTGTTTTTCCTACCATGAACGTCCATGCTTACATGTTTATTACAGATCATTCTTTAAAACTTTGATGAGTTGAACACAAGTTAAGATATTTTGAAGAATGCTCTGCAAAACACCTGTAACCATTGACTTTTATAGTATTTGTTTTTCCTACTATGAAAGTCAGTGCTTGCATGTTTATTACAGATCATTCTTTAAAACTATGCTGAGTTAAACACAAATGAAGATATTTTGAAGAATGCTCTGCAAAAAACCTGTAACCATTGACTTTCATAGTATTTGTTCGTCCTACTGTGAAAGTCAATGGTTACAGGTTTATTACAGAGCATTCTTCAAAGCTATGAGTTGAACACAAATTAAGATATTTAATAAACCTGTAACCATTGACTTTCATAGTTGGAAAAGCAAACACTATGAAAGTCAATGTTTACGTGTTTATTACAGATCATTCTTTAAAATATCTTCATATGTGTTCAACTCATCATAGTTTTAAACCACTTAAGGCTGAATAAATGAGTAAAATCATTCATCTTTGAATGAAATATCTCTTTATTATTAATCAAAATAAGTCACACAGGCTAGTTTTTGTTTTTCTTTTTTGCATTTTTTTCTTCTTGAGCAGCAAACATTCTGTCAGATGCTATTTAAAGATTTACCTCATGTTAGTTTTCCACTTTATATGTCCCTCTTCTCATAAAAGAGCTTAATCAAAAATGGCCCTGAAGCTGGAATTAGCAGTGTGCGTCTCTGCAAAACACATGTATTTATTTAGCGCTCTGTGGGGTGGAAGTGCTAAAGATGTCGCCGCGCTGGAGCTCCATTCATGTTTGGCACTCAGTCGAATTCTCAGCTATTTATCACCTCTGTCCCTCATAAAAGGATGTCTTAGTGCAAATCTCTTTGCGTGTGTGTGTGTGTGTGTGTGTGTGTGTGTGTGTGTGTGATTTTGCAGGCAGCCGGTGGCAGCACGGCGCATCAGGTCAGCTTTTCTTACTTTAATGGCTTCAACTCTTTGCTGAACAACATGGAGCTCATTAGGAAGATCTACACCACCCTGGCAGGCAACCGCAGAGATGTGGAAGTTACTAAAGGTTAGTGTTTTTTTTTTTAGTCCTGTTTTGTTTTTATTTATCCTTCCTCCACTGATTAGACTAGATTTGCCCCAAAAAACACACAAATACCCATAATGCATTTCTGCTGGTGAGTTTGAGTGCACTCAAGAATTTTGCTGATTGTTCAAACTACGCATTTAAAATGAGTTGAAATGACGTAATTCTTAAATCTTGTTTGGGGGTACAAATTAATTGTTTTATGTTCAATCCATTTAAAGTGATGCGGTGGCGCAGTTGGTAGAGCTTTTGCCTCACAGCAAGAAGGTCACTGGTTCGAGTCTCAGCTGGATCAGCTGGCATTTCTGTGTGAAGTTTGCATGTTCTCCTCGTGTTGGCATGGGTTTCCCCCGGGTGTTCAGGTTGCACAAGTCCAAACACATGCAGTATAGGTGAATTGAATAAGTTAAATTGTCCGTAGTGTATGAATGAATGAGTGTTTAGAGATGGAAGGGCATCCGCTGCGTAAAACACATGCTGGATAAGTTGCCGGTTCATTCCCCTGTGGCGACCCCGGAATAATAATGGGACTAAGCTGAAAAAAAAATGAATGAATTAATCCATTGAAATTTGTAAAAACTTATTTAGCTCAAGCCCAATCCCAATTCTCAATTCTACCCCTTAGCCCTTCTCCTTACCCCCGCGTTCACGTGAAGGGGAATGAGTGTCCCTATTCTCTTTAGGGCCTACTCACACTATGCCATTCGTACTGTGCCCAGGCCCGTTTCCCGGATCGTTTGAGAAGTGTGAGTGCGCTGAATCGGGCTCAAGCACGGTTCACTTGGCCGGCCCTGGCCCGTTTGGAAGAGGTGTGCCTGAGTGCGGTTCACTTGGGCTTTGGTAGGTACACTTGTGTGTGAGTTCAAAACGCGTCAAAAGCCCGAAACCGAAAGCGAGACGTGACTTTAAGGGACTGTTTGATATGGATTTATTAATCATTCTTACTGTTCAGTGAACGCAAACTGCCGTAGTTTATTAAAGATGAGAACTCCTCACAGCAAGACAGCTGCGCGGCTTCAGCAGACCTCCTCATTCCCGCAGCATGAGAGCTTTATGATTGTTTTTGAGCGCCAAAAGTGGCGGATCTGTTCGGCGAAATAGCGTGCTTTGGCCTGGTTCTAGGCAACTGTACCTAGTGTGAGTACGGCCTTAGTGTGAAGGCCTAGGGCTAAGGGGAAGGGCTAGATACCCCTTGAAACTGAGAATTTTCAGGACCACACTCGAAACCAAGGCGTTGGAAAATTTCCTACAATATAGCAGCTACCACGACAGCATAGCTGCATTTGGAAGTAAGGAGATCCACAAATTAGTATTTTTTGTCATTATTATGAATTTTTACAACAAACAATCATATGTTTAAATACATTCATAACAGCGTTCGTGTTTTACCGACATGTTTTTAAAAAAAATGCTAAGATAAAAACTGCTAAATTTTTTTCTGTATAGTAGTCCCACAACATTCTGTCACTCGATGACACTCGAATACCCTGTCAGAAAAGTCTAGTGGCTGGGAATGAGCTCTTTACAGAGTCTACTATAATGTTAATGTTGTTTTCGTGTGTTTACATTGATGAATATGGCCACAGTGTAAATGCCCAGAACAGTTATGAGTTTATTTTATAATTATATCATTATGATATAACAGGATATCGTTGCCTTCAGGGATTTCCTGAAGAAAAATACCCAAAATAGCGCAACTGGAATAACTACAGCAGTCGTGATCGTCTGATGTCATATGAAGCAAGAGATTGCGATGACATATGATGACGTGTGCTGGTGTTGTAGTGCTGTCTTATTTCTAAGGGGTAAAATTTGAAGCCCTTCCTGTTACCCTTGGCCCTTGAAACAGAGTGTGAAGGGGAAGGGGTACAAAAATAGAATTGTGATTGCCTTAATCAGTTTGTGTTGGGACAACATGAAGGAAATGTGTTGAAGCTAGCACTTTTTCACAGTGTGAGATGATTTTTTGCATTATATTGGTGATTTACTATAAAGAAGTATAACATTATAATATTTGAAAAAAAAAACATTGCTCACTCTTTTTTCCTTTTTAGAACTGTCAAAAGCACAACGTTCCTGTTCGTTTCCTACTTATTTTATAATTGTGTTCTGCTCTTTTCAAACAGAATTTTAGGTAATTATGTATTATGTGTATTTCAGTGTAAGTGTATTTTTACAAATATTGGTCCCACTTTATATTAAGTGTCCTTAACTACTATGTACTTACATCAAAAAATAAATGCAATGTACTTACTGTGTTTATAATGTATTTGAGAACACTTGTGGTGCTTTTGAGTTGGGATAGAGGTTGGGTTATGGACAGGTTTGGTGGTATGGGTAGGTTTAAGGGTGGATTAAGGTGTAAGGGATGGTCAACAGTGTATTTACAAATGTAGTTACGAAAGTTAATTACAGATGTAATTACATACATATGTTTAATCAAGCATAAGTACACAGTAAATACATGTATTACACAATAAGTACATTGTAGCAAACTATTAATTCCTGTGTAAGTACATATTAGTTAAGGCCACTTAATATAAAGTGGTACCCAAATATTTAATCTTGCTGAACATTTCAATCAGAAAAAAAGATTTTTTTTGAATAATTTATATTTTTGTTTACTTTTTTTTTCTCTTTTATGCATTAATATTATTAAATCATGCATAAGAAATAATAAAGCAATTGTTTTGAAAAAATAATATTTCAAAATAAATATGAACAACTCAGATTAATACCCAGGATTCATTTAAATTTTCATTTATTCATTCATTTTCCTTCGGCTTAGTCCTTTATTTATCAGGGGTTGCCTTGCAGCCGCAACCCAGTACAGGGAAACACCCATACACACTTGTTCACACACTCACTCATACACTACGACCAATTTAGTTAATTCAATTGTACGGCATGTCTTTGGATTGTTGGGAAAACCGGAGCTGCTGGAGGAAACCCATGCCAACACGGGGAGGACAGGCAAACTCCACACAGAAATGCCAACTGGCCCAGCAAGGACTCAAACCAGTTACCCTCTTGCTGTGAGGCAAAAGAATATTTTGAAGAATGCTCTGTAACAAACCTTTAACCATTAACTTATAGTGTTTGTTTTTCCTACTGTGAAATTCAATGCTTACAGGTTTATTACAGAGCATTCTTCAAAACTATGGTGAGTTGAACACAAATTAAGGTATTTCGAAGAATAAAGCCATCGTGCCTCCCTTAATTAATATTCAAACTTATTAACTTCCAAGTTATTAATTAGTATGATCTTTACATTTTAATAGTTTCTATAATCTGAATTAAGTTTCTTTTGGGATTTTTTGAAGATTTTTTATGTTTTTACAAATATGTTAAACCTTTAAAAATAACACAATGAAAACAACAAATGAATGCAATTGAAGACAAAATTATTCGCCTTTCTGTACAATTTGTATTTCTTTTTAATATTTCTCAACTTGACTAATTTATATTAATATTATATTTATATAAATTTATATTATAATAAAAATTTATATTAATTAATTCATTTAGTCTTTGCCATGATGACACTACATTATATTTTACTAGTTATATTTTAAAACCTTAGTATTCAGTGTACAGTATAATTTAAAGGCTTAACTAGGTTAATTAGTTTAACTAAGTTAAGTTAATTAGGTAAGTCGTTAAACAGCAGAAGTTTGTTCTGTAGCTAATCAGGTGAAATAAATCCTAAGGCGGCTAATAATATTGACCTTATAATAGTTTAATTCCTGCCAAACTAAAACAAATAATACGAAGAAAAAGCATTATAAGAATTACTGTGAAAATATCATTGAAATATATCATTAAAAATCACTTGGGAAATAATTGAAAAAGAATTACTAGAGCAGTTACTAATAATTTTGTCTTCAACAGCAAATAAGAATAATTTTTATTTTTAATAAAATATCTATTTATCTGACATATTCCAGCATTAATACTACACTATACTAATTAGTTATGTTTAGCTCATTTAAGGACAGTAATTATGAAAACCTGCCAATAGCCCACCAAGAGCTGCAACAAAGCCCTTCAAAAAAAACCTTGGCTTGCGTCTCCCTGACCAACTGCTGACCTGTGAAACAGCACTCATAGTCTAGCTGCAGTGGAGCTCTGCATTTTGGACACACACTCAGGCTGAACACACCCAGCCGGCGATGCTATCAGGCCTGTGGAGACCAGAGCCGGGGTGGAGAGCCCAAAATCCAGCACTGCTGTTCCCACACTGGCCTCCGCCGGGAACTGTGTGTGCCGATTTACATGTCTACTTCTCCTGTTGACCCTCAGCTGATTGGTTCCGTATGTTTCCAGCGAAGCACAGTTTAGTCATTGCAACAACCATCGTTTGCCACCTGGGGAAAATAGGGAAAGAAGAAAGAGTTTGTAGAAAATATGGTGCTGTCAGTCGATAAAAAATAGAAAAGAAAAAAAAAAGATTAATCATAATTAATTTTAAACTATATAAAGGTGATTGATATAACTATTGCTGTTTATCACCCTCCCCCCCCCCCCCAAAAGAAAACAAAACAAACAAAAAAACAGTTAATCAAAATCGATTTCAAATATTACTGTATAATTTTTTAAGGTGAATCACATTGACCTTGTCATATTTATTTTTATCTTACTTTACATTGCATTAAACTTATTAATTATAAATAATTCCAAACTGTATAAAAGTGACTGATATATAACTAGTGGTGTCAATTGATTAAAAAAAACATTTCTAAAAAAAAATCTTAAATTAAATTTGATTTATTTCCACTCTGCAAAAATAATTAAATAATAATATTATTTTTAAGGAAAATCACATTAACCTTTGAAGTCATTTTTAACTTACATTTCATTGCCTTAAACTGACCTACATCTCATATGACTTAAAAATAGGAAAAGAGGAAAGAGTTTTTATATGTAGAAAAGGAAGAAAAAAAAGAAAAAAGAATCAATTAACCATAATTATTCTCAAGCTGTATAAAGGTGTAAAGGTGATATATATATATATATATATATATAGTGTATATCTAGTGCTGTTTATCTATTAAAAAATAACAAATCAATAAAATTTATTAAATTAATTTATTATTTATTTTTAGGGTTAATCAAATTAATTATAAATAATTCTTTACATTTGTTCAGCGCTTTTCTGGACTTTACACATTTTTTGGGGGAATCTTCTCATCCATCACCTGAATCATGCAACAGCAGCCATATTGCGCCAAATTGTACACCACACACCAGCTGATTGGTGGAAAGGAGACAGAGTGATGAAATGAATTATGATATGGAGATGGTGAAGAGGTCATGATAGATAGAGGATTATGGGATGTTGTTCTCTGCTCGAATTTTAATGTTGAAAATTCAACTCTACAGTTTAACAAAGTGACTTTTATTAAGATTTTAGTATTTTGAAATAATATAATGGATAAGAAATAATATATAGAAAAATAAATCTGTAAAATTACAGAAAATACCGGCAGTTTATTACAAGGTTTTTGTATCACAACATACAACACCAACCCAGACAATAAAGCACTTTAAACTATTAAAATGTTAATAAAAGTAACTTTTTTTTTACTTTTCAAGGTTAAAAGTTGTTGGAAGAAAGATCAAGCTTCCATTATGTGATTCAAAAGCATAAATAAATGGGAAAAAATAAAAACATGAATCACAAAATACAGAAAACTGCAAATCTACAGATTTTTTTTTTTATATTTGTAGCTTTACCAACCCTAAGCTCCACCCCTTACATATTTTTAGCAGCGTTTAAATGGAAATATTAAATGCATACATTGACACTAATTTGGACAGCACTAATAAAAACATCCAAAATATTTTCAGGCCATTCTTAAACAAAAAAAAACTTCAACTTCATGATTTCAGAGATATTTTCCACTCAGTCAAGTTGAAGTTTTTGCGAAGTTAAATATGATTTTTGGCAGGTGTAACGCTCTTGGCGGCTCATCGCTCACACTTATCAGTATCAGTGTTTGTTTTTAGAGGGAACTGAAGAGACCGATGCCCTGCGTGATCTTTGATTGAAGCGTTTCTTCACACTTCACAGCATGTTTAAGGCCGGGGTAAACTGAGCCGGCCTTCGTTCAATAGGGCTCTGTGTAAGAACACTTGCTGCCTTTTTCAGGCCAGTCACTTTATACCAGTGCAGTGGGAATCCCACTGTTAACCGGCCTGTGTTCAGTTTGCTCATTACCACTCTACACTTAACCTGCACAACCAGCTGATATACAATACACACCGGGTTTAATAAATATTTCATTGATTTGTTTTGCTCTATAATCATGTTGGGATGTGTTTGTGTAATAGCTCATTAATTGAAGTGTTATAAATAATAAACGGACACTTCTATATATTTGTACAGTGTTCACATGGGTTTCCTAGGGGTGCTCTGGTTTCATCACAATCCAAAGAGATGCGCTATAGGTGAATCAAATAAACTAAATTGGCTGTTGTGTATGAGTGTGAATGTGAGAGTGTATGGGTGTTTCCTAGTATTGGGGTGCAGCTGGAAGGGCATCAGCTGCGTAAAACATATGTAGGTTAAGTTGGCGGTTTATTCCGCTGTTATAAACCCTGATAAAGACACTAAGCCGAAGGAAAATTAATGAATTAATGAGTTTGTTTAATCATTTTTGATCTGGCACCATTAGAAATCTTTTGTAAATACTTTGTAAAATGAATATTTTTTTCTGTATCATACACTTTTTTGGGGGCTGAATTTTGTTGATCAACATGTATACCGTTTTAGCATTAAACTTATTTTTTTGCTATCTTTGTATAAGTAAAGCAAATTCTGTTTCAGATAGAATTTATATTGTTTTTGGATGATATTATTTAAGACTAATTAAATACGTAGATAAATTCCATTCTTCTCAATGTGAGTATTTTTGGGAATTCTGATTATATACTGAGATTATATGAGCATGATCTGATATAATATATTATTCTGCGATTATATGAGCATGATCTGATATAATATATTATTCTGAGATTATATGAGCATGATCTGATATAATTTATTATTATGAGATTATATGAGCATGATATGATATAATATATTATTCTGAGATTATATGATTAATGAATATAGATTAATGAATTAAAAATAGGTAAAGTGCATCAAGACATACTCTGAGGTTAGCATGAGAAAGCCTGTTTAAAGTAGTTTGTTTAGTTTGCAATAGTATGAAAAGATAGATAGATAGATAGATAGATAGATAGATAGATAGATAGATAGATAGATAGATAGATAGATAGATAGATATGGATGGAAGGATAGATAGATAGATAGATAGATAGATAGATAGATAGATAGATAGATAGATAGATAAATTGAACAATAAATTGAACTATAGAACAATAGATACCAAAGATGGATGGTTGGATAAATTGACGGATGGATATATGGATGGATGTATTGATGGATGGATTTACGGACAGCAGGACGGACAGATAGATAGATTGAATGATAAATTGATAGATAGATAGATAGATAGATAGATAGACAGACAGACAGGTAGATTGAACTATACATTGAACGACAGAACAATGGATGGATTGATTAATTGGTTAATTGATTAATTAATTGATTAGGATTGATCGTGTTTCAGGTTTAAGTATTTGAGGAAGAGTTCCCAGGTAGCAAGCGATTTTCTATTAGAGTTGGACCTCATAAAGCAGAGCCTTGCCGTTTATTCATTAATTACTCTTTCTTCGGCTTAGTCCATTATTTATAAGGTGTTGTAAAAAAATTAATGAGTGAAAAAGAAATGTATATTTCCACAAAGGGGTTGCCACAGCGGAATGAACCACCAACTTATCCAGCATATGTTTTACACAGCGGATGCCCTTCCAGCCACAACCCAATACTGATAAACACCCATACACTCTCACATTTCCACTCATACACTACGGGCAATTTAGTTTACCCAATTCACCTGTACCGCATGTCTTTAGACTGTGGGGAAAAACGGAGCACCCAGTGGAAACCCACGCCAACACGGGGAGGACATGCAAACTCCACACAGAAATGCCAACCGACCCAGCTGGGACTCGATTCAATGACCTTCTTGCTGTGAGTAGACAGTTCTACCCACTGAGCCACCGTCTCGCCAAGAGCCTTTCCAAATGGATGATTTTTTTACAGTGTACAGTTAAGATACTTTTTTCAGAAACATTTAAATTGTTAAACAAGAGCGGACAATACATTTTGAAGCCTTTGTATTTGTTTGTGAAACACACTCATTGCTTTACTTCTCAATATTAAAATCACTCCGTGTTTTCTGCCTTCTCCAGAAGAGTTCATCATCGCGGCGCAGCGGTTCGGCCAGGTGACCCCAATGGAAGTGGACATCCTTTTCCAGCTGGCGGATCTGTCAGAGCCGAGAGGGTGAGTCTGAGTCACCATGAGCTGAATCACCGTCTGAGAGCCTCTTCCCATCATGTTCAGCCATAACACACTTCAGCTCGAGCCCTCCAGCCGCTGTTTGACTCTTCTGTAATTACATGCGAAAAGTTTGCTGCTCTCTCTATTCTCAGTCTTGTTCTGGCAATTGCATAGTTGATGATACATGACTCTTCTTATTATTGTACAGCGGGAGGTTTTGAATGCAGTCCAGCTCGCTCCAAATTTTTTGCAGCACATTTTTCTTTGCTACTGTAACCAGTGCTTGGCTAGGCACACAAATGAAGGACTTAAAGGGATAGTTCACCCAAAAATTTAACTTTACTCACTGTTTACTTACCCTCATAAGTAGAGTTTCTTTTTATTTATGAACAAAAAAGGAGATATTTTGAAGAAAGCTGAAATCCTGTAACCATTGACTTACTTGATATATCATCACCTTGGAATTGTAATCTGCAGTCTGAATGATTTTGAGATAATGAGCTTCAAAGTTTTTGAATTCCATAAAGCAAACAGTTGATGATATGTTTTTCCTACTATGGAAGTCAATGGTTACAGGCTTTCAGCTTTCATTATGATGTGCTCTTCTTTGTTCAGCAGAATAAAGAAACTCATAAATGCTTGGAATCAATTGAGGGTGAGTAAATAGTACATTTTTAGTTGTGGGTGAACTATACTTAAGTATAAGTACAGATACCTGAATAAATTTTACTCCAATAAAAGTATAAAGTACTTCTTCTTGAGACAAAAGTACTTGATTTTTAATGTAAATAAGTATTAAAAGTAAAAAAGTACTTAATGATTTTTGTTTGTTTGTTTTGTGAGAAAATTTGATACATTAAAGGGCACCTATGGTAAAAAAAATCTACTTTTCAAGCTGTTTGGACAGACGTGTGTGTAGGTATAGTGTATAGACCATCATATTGGGTTGATATAAACACACCTATTCTTTTTTTTTCAATATAACAACATAAAAACGGTGGACCAATTGGAGCGGTTTTCAAACCGACCGCAACTTGACGAAGCAGTGTGGTCCCCTCGCCCACCGAATTGATTGACAGCTGCGTATTAACTTGTCCCGGTAGTCACGTGTATAATCATTTCAACAAGACAGGACGTGCGCAAAGCAACCGGTAATTAAAGGTCTGTTCAGTTCGCTAGGATCATCAATCCTAATCAAATGTGATCAAGAGTGAGCTTTACAAGTTTAAAATGTTTTAAAACAGTGCATGAGTCTAATGAAGTACAGCGATTCACTTCAGATTCACTTCATCAGTACAGCCTCGTGTCAGAACAATTATAAAAGAAGACGCTTTAATCCTGCTTTGTGGACATTAAATCGGGTTTATTTTGTACGTTAACATAACAGATATCCATACAGATATGGAAATTAAACTGAATACTGTCACATTTGCGTGCAAATAGAGTGCAAAGCTAAACGCGCGATGTCTGTCTGTCTGTCTGTCTGTCTGTCTGTCTGTCTGTCTGTCTGTTTGTCTGTCTGTGTGTGTGTGTGTGTGTGTGGCATGTAGAAACGGTGGGCGGGGAGGAAGAGCCTTAAAGGCGCAGTACAACAAAAACACTACCTGATGCAAAAAGGTAAAAGATAGCATATTATAAGAGGTATAATACAAAATCTGATGGGTGTTTTAAGCTGAAACTTTACAGATACATTCTGGAGATGCAAAAGACTTATATGAAATCTGAAAAAAGTGGTAACCCAGGTGCCCTTTAAACCGTGATACTTTACCCAAAAAGGAAAATTCTGTCATTTACTGATCTCCACTTGTTGTTGTTCTTGAGTTTCTTTCTTCTGATGAAAAGAAAAGTTGGAAACCGGTAGCCTATAGCCCCTTTCGCACATACAGACCTTTCCATAAAATTTTCCGGAAAGGTCTGTATGTGTGAACAGCCCCTTTTTGAAAATTCCAGTAAATTCGTTCCAGCAATTTTCCGGAAAGAGAAGTTGTAACATTACCGGTAATTTGCCGGTATTCTGCACTGTGTGAACGCAGAAGGAAGATTGCTGGAAAGAATGCGTTCACGTCTAGAACGCACTGACGTGAGACGTCTACTTTAGCCAATCAGAACAGTCAGACGCATTCACATCCACGCTGTTTATGAAAAATAAAAGCCTTTGAATATTCTTCCAGGCACATTTAGCTGCTAGTTGTTAGTCAGATAATGTTTATATGTTCTTTCTTAATGCCAACTGTGTAAAAATTATTGATAAGATGCTCATGATAAACCGCTGTTTGTTTAGCTTCAAGCTCTGACGCATGTGTAAATAAAGCAGCCAGTGAGCACCAGCACACACACATATAATGAACATCTCAACATGCGAAAGTGTTCTTCCATATAATTTTATGGTAGTTGTTCACAATACTGATCCATCCACAGAGTTTGTAATGTAGTCAAATGTTTACAAAGCCGTTTAGAGCTCATTTCTGGTTAATGATGTCAGAATTTGGCGGTATTTTGGAATGGATGTGTGAATGGTCTTTTCCGGAAAAATTCTGTAAGTCCTTACCCGTGTGAACAGCGCTTTTTTGAATATACCGATAAAGTCGTTCCGGAAATTTTTTGGATATTTACTGGTATTACTGTGTGAAAGGCGCTTTTGACTTCCATAGTATTTGGAATGGATGTCAATGGCTACCGGTATCCATTCATTCATTCATTCATTCATTCATTCATTCATTCATTCATTCATTTTCCTTCGGCTTAGTCTCTATTTCAGAGGTTGCCACAGTGGAATGAACCCCCAACTATTCTGGCATATGTTTTTCTCTTTCTTCCAGCCGCAACCCAGTTCTGGGAAACACCCATACACACTCTTTCACACTAATACACTACGGCCAATTTAGTTCATCCAATTCACCTATAGCGCATGTGTTTGGACTGTGGAGGGTAACCAGAGCACCCGGAGGAAACCCATGCCAACATGCAAACTCCACACAGAATTGTCAATTAGCCCATCCGGGACTTGAACCAGCAACCTTCTTGCTGTGAGGAAACCACCGTGCCGCCTGGTATCCAACATTTTTTAAAATATCTTATTTTGTGTTCATTGGGAAAAAAGAAACATAAGAATTGGAAACATATAGTGGAGTGGAAACAGTGGGCAAATTTTCATTTTTGGTTGAAGTATTGGTTTAAGCACTGCTAATTATTTTAAATAATTATGTCTGCAAACATATGAAAATAACTAAATACACCATATAGTCAAGTATATAATTATACATTTGTTATGCAGTATTTTAAATACTTTGACCTGGAATTCTCAGAGAGGCTTTTCTGGTTAAATAAATAAAAATAAAAATAAATAAAATAATAATAATAAATAAACCACAATTGTGTACTGCCAAATTTAAACATACAATATAAAAACAGATCTCACATAGGGAAAAAATGTGTTCGAATTTGAAGAAGAACACTATTTAACTTAGTTTTCATTACATTTCTGATGTTAATACACAGATATGGACATATCCACATTTAAGCATTTTATATAGTGGGCTTAAACAGCCCACCCTTTTCCAGTAGAATAAAGAGTTAGTTCATCCCAAATTGAAAACAACCTCATTAATTTTTTTCCCTCGTTATGCATTCTTTCTTCTGTTCAACACAGAAGAAGATATTTTGAAGAATGCTGGTAGCATGCATCCATTCACTTCCATAGTAGGAAAAAAGTACTATAGAAGTCAATGGGAATTTCTTCAAAACATCTTCTTTTGGAAAGACGGAGGAAAGAAACTATAAAAGGTTTTGAAC